ATGTTTTAGCCTCCAGTCCCCTAATCATCTTTGTTGCTCTTCTCTGCACTCTTTCCGGAGCCTCCACATCTTTTCTACATCTGAGGTGATCAAAACGGAATGCAGTATTCCAAGTGTGCCCTTACCAAGGCATTATAAAATGTTATTAACACTTCACGTAATCTTGATTCTATCTTACCTTATGGATTTCTTACCTTATTGATGAGCTCATCATTATCTTCTTTAATTTCAATATTAATAGGGACTCCAGGGAATTGCTCAAAAATGTCTTCCAAACGAGGAATCTGGTGATCAGTACCATGTGAGAAGCTTCCTGTTAGGAAGGGTAAGGTTGAGGGTAGCTGCCAAGAACTGAGCATTTTTCTCAAGAGACAAAGAGAACCAATGGTTTGCCTTATTTTCTACCACAGGACATTTTCCCCAAAGCAACTCGTAGTCCTACTCACCTGGAGAAAACTGCACCTCCAGAGAAGGCAGATAGCGTGGCAAATCCTAGGGAACACAACCAGTGAGAATAAGAAGTAAGAGTGGCTTTGAGATTTGCTATGTGTGTTGAAGGGAGGAAATGAAGAGCAGAGTTTGGAGTCCTAGAAGTTTGGGGGAAAGCTCTTTAATTCTCCCCAAAGTGCTATAACCATTGTTTAAAGGAAGTAATACGGAAGTTATTTTGTTTCTGGTAAGTGTGTAAAGGTGTTGGGGTGTGGTGGTTAGAAGCAAGGGTGGATCCCACTGCCGATGGTACTGGTTTGCTGCGTATGCAGTTCATTGTAAATTGTTCTATGCATGCACAGACCATGAAAAACCAATAACAAACATGCCGGCAATGGCAGCAGAGACCGGGGAACCAGTTTGGGGGCACAGCCAGCCTGGGTCGCTGCTGGTTCTGAGACCAAGTCAGATTACCAATACCGGTTCGCCTAAACCAGGGCAAACCGGTAGAAACCCACCTCTGGTTAGAATGCTGAGATAACAGGAGCAATACTTTCATCCAAATGACAAAAGCAGTCTTATTCTGTTGTGACCCAAGCTTCACCTCTTTTGTTATGTGCTTGCAATACCAGGTTACACTCTCAACAGTGGTGAAGCTTGCATTGTGATGGCACAATGGTGGTTTCATCATTTCATCATCACAATGGTGTCCAACTCAAACACAAATCCACTCCCAATCATAAATTTCACAAGGTGACTTTGGGTAAATCACACATTCTCCATCTAACCTACAGTAATTCAATGGGATTTTTTTTTTTAAAGTGTTAACAATGGAGGATGTTATCTATTCCACCTGAATTTCTAGAGGAAAGGCAGGACTTATATCTAATGAGATTATATAATGAGAAACAGCCTGGGAACATCACTGCAAAGTCATGTCCAACCCATCGCGACTCCATGGACCACGTGCCTCCAGGTCTTCCTATCCTCTATCATCCCCCGGAGTCCATTTAAGCTCAGGCCTACTTCTTCGGTGACTCCATCCAGCCACCTCATTCTCTGTCATCCCCTTCTTCTTTTGCCCTCAATCTTTCCCAGCATTAGGCTTTTCTCCAGGGAGTCCTTTCATCTCATTAGGTGGCCAACATCACTTACATAGCCATAAAATCTGTCACCACATGGAACTGAATAATACCCAAAAGGCAGGGCATGTGGGGACCAAGGACTTAGAGATGCTCACCTCATAGTATGTGTGGCTGATATCAATGTTGTGTCCCGTCTGGCGTTTCAGATTTTCATCATGGGACACAACCACAATCCCATCTTTGGTTATGTGGCAATCAAGTTCAAGCAGGTTTGTCCCTTGGCTCATTGCACTGGGAAGATGCAAAGATTGGCAAGAGAAGTTGAAGGGCAGGAACAGTGCACAAGAAGGGCAAGTTGAGATAGAGTGGCGATTGCATTACTCACTTTTTAAAGGCACCCAAAGTGTTCTCAATCTGCTCTCCAGCACCTGAAGAGGAAATCAGATTCCGAGCAATTTTATTTCAGGTACTCTGCCTCCAAAAGAATATCAAGCTGTTCTGCTTTGTGCTTTAGGAATGCGGCTTTACAAGTCTTGGGACTATTGTGGAACAGAAAGTAATGCAAATATCCCACCTGCCCACTTCTCAGGAAGAGAAGCAGAGGGAAGAAATCTCACAACTTATTTCCTTTTCTCTCTGCTTCCCCCATTCACCTTTGCCTTGCAGCTGCGGTGCGCATGCTGAGCTCTTCAGCCTCCCTCTCGGTGCCCCCAAAAGCCCTTCCATCCAGACACCCAATTTACATCACAGAACTTACCACCCCTGTGGGAGACATGTAAGCATCGAACGGGAAACCTGCGTGGTTTGTGAAGGAGATGTGGCTTCTTCCGAAGAGAGTAAGATAACACTGCATAGATTCCCAAGGCAGGTAGCCCATAGACGAGCAAGTGGCAGCTCATTGTGGTACGTGGGGGGTGAGGAAGCAGGTGGCTAGTATTTCTGGGCTTGGTAAATTAAAGCAAGGAGCAGCAACCAGGACATTCAGATTCTCTGGAATGAAAGGCACTCTTGGTTTTCTTGCAGGGGTTAGGTCATCTGCGTAGAACCTGGTAAAACCCGGTGGGCGAAATCAGGTAGATTGGAATTCCTGATTTCCTGGATCCGTGAATCTTGAATGCTGTAGGTAAGCAAGTCAGTGATATTTCTGAAGGATAGGAGTAGGAAGAGAAGGGTGTGTAGGAATAAAGTACAGAAACTTATCCCTCCCCTTTGCTACCAGGACCTTCCCATCATCACTTACCTGTTGGCTCACCTAATACCCACACACACACACACACACACACACACACAGAGAGTCATAAATGGGCACACATAATTGCATGGTTCAGTGCCTCCCAATCATCTGCCAACCTAGTTATCAGCCTTGTTAAATGTTATCATTTTGCCACTCCTGTGGAGGAAAAAAACCCCATTTTCTTGGCAGGAGAATTATGACAGGACTGGGCCTACTTGGTTTTACCTGCTTTACCTCAGGAATCAGACTCCACTTTCAGATCTGGACACCTGTCTCCGTCAACACCATACATACCTGGAGACCCCTGGAAGCCACACTTCCCATCAAGCCAGCTGATCCCATCTCCATAGTTATATAAACAAAGGAGGATTGATTTGTGGCCCATAGAACGGTTGCTTGCTTCAGAAAAGGGATCGGTTTATTCCTTAGAACAGCTATATGGAAAGAAAGCACAATATGTTCACCATACCTGCTGCTGTCTCTTTGTGGTTAGCTGATGGGATTTGTGTGTTTTAAAAACCCCACCATGTAAGTACAGTTTTCAATTTTTCCCAAGTGAAAGAATCTGGATCCCATCATTTGAAGAAATAATACACTCACTGTCCCCAAAAGGACATTCATATCTTTATACAGGTAGTCCTCAACTTACAACAGTTCACTTGGTGACTGTTCAAAGTTGAAACGACACTGAAAAAAAGTGGCTTATGACTATTTTTCACACTTACAACTGTTGCAGCATCCCCATGGTCACTTGATCAAATTTTGGATGCTTGGCAACTGACTCATCTTTATGATGGCTACAGTGTCCCTGGGGGTCGTGTGACCCCCTTTTGTGACTTTCCGACAAACAAAGTCAGTGGGGAGGCCAGATTTACTTAACAGTCACATTACTAACTAAACAACTACAGTGCTTCACCTTAACAACCGTGACAAGAAAGGTTGTAAAATTGGGGCAAAACACAAATGCCTCACTTAGCAACACAAATTTTAGGCTCAATTGTGGCTGTAAATTAAACGCATGTATTTTAAATTGCTTTTGTTAAAGGCTAAATGTTAAAAGCTTAATTAAAATTTCAATGATGCATCAGGTGCCCCACTAGATTGCTACAGTAATGAAAGTCTTTTTAACATGTATCTCATTGGACCTGACAAACTTGTATTTTTTTTCCTGATGTACCTTCCTGATGTCCACTTTGGTATCTATCCTATAATATATCTGTAGCAATTGGGGCATTGAAGTGTTGTTTTCCCTCTTAAACCTGTTGCCATAGATATAGCCCGACATGTTTCACGCTAGGGTATGGCCAGAAAATCCTTAGAGCAATATTTCTCAATCTTGGCAACTGTGCTAGCAAGGGAATTATTATGTTTGGTGAGTTCTCTGGGTAAAGAAAGTCCACCCACAGAGCAACAGCCCTGAAAAGGGCATGACATCGACCAGTTGCCTATAAACCAGTGTTTATCAACCTTGGCAGCTTAAAGATGGGTGGCCTTCGACTTCCAAGCTGGCGAATTCTGAGAGTTGCCAAGGTTGAAAAATAGTGCTCTAATCTGATACCCTTCGGGCACGTTGACATCTATCTCTCATTGCTGCCAGTCAGTTCTCATAAATTGTCTGTTGAAAAAGCTGCTTTTCAGTAATCAGCTACGTTTTTCTGAATTATCTCTCAGGGGTAGGCTAGATTCTTCCTCATGAGATCTCCAAGCCCTGGATGTTCTCAAGGAGGGCAACGTTATCATCCACCTGAAACTCTTGGGTGAGATCATTTAGGAGTGATAGTCTGTGGGTGTAAAAAAATATGTAGATGATACTGACACATCTCTTGAAAGGTGTCAGTGTTCCTGCTGCTTTTCCCTATTCCATTTCCCCCTCCCACTTGCTGACAAGAACATTTGCCACCAACTCTTCTCCTGAACTTGTAGTAGGATGGGGTTGGTGATTCAACCCTGGATTAGCATTATTTCTTTGAATTGTCAATCATCCCAACGATTAATAATTCTGTAAAACATTTCCGTGGATGTTTCCACTTAGACGTCATCAAATTGCTGCAAGGTGGAATCAAAACAAAATTCTCACTTGCAGTAATTGAGACGCTGTCAACTTGGTAGCATCTACAAAATATTTCATCACAGTACAGGTAGTCCTTGACTTACGACCATAACTGAGCCGAAAGTTTCTGTTGTTAAGTGAGCCAGTTGTTCAGTGAGTTTTGCCCCATTTTACAATCTTTCTTGCCACAGTTGTTAAGTGAGTCATCACAATTCTTAAGTTAGCAAGTTAGTAATAGGGTTGGGAAGGAAATCTGGCTTCCCCATTGACTTTGCTTGTCAGAAGGTCACAAAAGGTGATGACATGACACTGGGACACTGTAACCATCATAAATATGAATCAGTTGCCAAGCATGTGATCACGGGGATGCTGCAACGTTTGTGTGAAAAACCTTTTAAATGAGGTGTGATTAAAGTCATACCTCATTTAAAGGTTTCAGTGCCATTGTAACTTCAAATGGTAAATAAATAAGTAAATAAGTTGAGGATACCTGTTCTGATCTGATGTTAGGAAAAAAAGGTGATATATCTTGTAAAATGTAACATCTGGAGATATTATTGGAATTCCTGATTTTTTTCCCCACCAATGGGAACATTGATCTCCTTAAAGGCCTTTTGTCTGGTCATCCATGAGATATCGCAAAAAGATATCCAAAAAGAAACAGGCTGTGCCAGTGAGGTGTTCTATCTCTTGTAACTAAAACAAGCAGATTGCTGATCTTGACTGCATCATGCCAAGCCTCCTCCCTCTCCATGCCATCTACCATTTTTTTGAAGAAGCAAATTTTAAAAAAAGTTTTTGCACTCTGCAACCCCCCCCCCCAAAATGGCCTGTTTTTTGTGAAAATGGGCCTGTCTTTTTTAAAGGCATGGATAGCCTATCGGAGGCCTGTAGAGTGCTCCTGGGAGGTGGGGGGGGGAGGGGAAACGAGCAAAAAAACAGCCTATTTTTCACTCATTTCTGCCCTCCTCAGCCCCCAGGAGCTATCTGAAAGCTGCCTAAAAGCTATGCATGGCCATTTTGGTGAAAGGGGCGGGACTTCGGGACTCGGGAGGCAAAAAATGCTGTATTCAGTGTATAAGACGCACCCAGATTTTCAGCCTCTTTTTTGAGGGAAAAGATGCATCTTATACTCCGAAAAATACATTAAGTGGTCCACTGGAGATGTTTTCTACTAGGATGAAAGGGAAAATACTACTTTCACGTTAGATGATCTTAAGCTGAGTTCAGATGTTTTGTTTGCCATGCCATAAATATTCATCCTTGTTTGTAGAGGACATGTCTCTTCAGGAAAAAAAAACACTGTTTAGACATGTCCTCTACAAACAACACGGAATATTTACGGCATGGCAAACAAGACACCTGGATGAACCTTACCTATGGAGATTCTCAGTCATCCAGGTCATGGTTGTCCCAAATGTGCACTTTCAAAAGGCAACTGGACTTTCTTTGTTCTTTTCCTTGCAGACATTTTGCTTCTCATCCGAGAAGCTCAGATCTGAAGAAGGTTCTTGGATGAGAAGCAAAACTTCTTCAAAAAAAAGCAAAGGAAGTTCAGTTGCCTTTTGAAAATGCATCTTTGGCCGAGATGTAGACCTGGTTACAATTCCCAACTATTCTCATCATTATGTTTATATAATTATACAACCTTACACGCCCCTACTTTGTAATTCTATCTTTAAATCTCAATAGTTTCCCATTGAAAGTATATTTCCTGTTCCCTCTTCATTTTTCCATATCTTGGTTTAGATTACCCTTAATTGTCTATAAATGGCAATCCTTACTGTTCAATGTTCATTACAATTCCCTTAATCTATTATAGATTAATAGATACACATCTCACTTTGTTCATCATCTTAAAAGTTCTATATATGTCCATGTTTCATATATTTTAATCCATGCTTAATTGTCCTTCTATTGTCCTTCTAATTGTCCTTCTATTGTCCTTCTATTGTCATATTCAATCAATTAGCAACTCTGTTTAATTATCATGTGTGAAAGTGAATCACAAACATCTGCTTTATCATCTTCCCATATCAGTTTCATATTTGTCCATATTCCATATGTTTTAACCTTTATTTATCTTTCCATTATCATATTCAGTCAGTTAGCAACTCACCTTATTGTCATATTTAGGAATAAATCCCTTATCTTACTTGGCTGTTCCGGCAGGCCTGGGGCTGTTGATCTAGATTGACCTTCAGCCCCATTAAGATCAAGTGCATGTTG